GTAAAGCCACTGCCTGCAGTGTTGGAATCCCATGTGGGCACTGGTTCAAGGCCTGGCTGCTCCGCTTCCGATCCAGCTCTCTGCTATGGCGTAGGAAAGCAGCGGAAGATGGCCCAAGTCCTAGGGCCCCTGCACCCATGTGGGAGACCCAGAAGAAGCTCCTGGCTCCCAGCTTCTGATTGGCTCAGCTCTAGCCGTTGCAGCCGCCTGGGGAGTGGGCCAGCAGATAGAAGACCTCTCTCTCTGTCTCTCCCTCTCTCTGTCTGTGGCTCTGCCTCTCAAATAAATAAAATTAAAAATCTTAAAAAAAAAAAAAAAAAAGGTATTGGCCAGCGCCGCGGCTCACTAGGCTAATCCTCCACCTGCGGCGCCAGCACACCGGGTTCTAGTCCTGGCCGGGGCGCCGGATTCTGTCCCGGTTGCCCCTCTTCCAGGCCAGCTCTCTGCTGTGGCCAGGGAGTGCAGTGGAGGATGGCCCAAGTGCTTGGGCCCTGCACCCCATGGGAGACCAGGAGAAGCACCTGGCTCCTGCCATCGGATCAGCGTGGTGCGCCGGCCGTAGCGCGCCAGCCGCGGCGGCCATTGGAGGGTGAACCAACGGCAAAGGAAGACCTTTCTCTCTGTCTCTTTCTCTCACTGTCCACTCTGCCTGTCAAAAAAATTAAAAAAAAAAAAAAAGGTATTTTGAGGGCAAATACCATCATTATTTATATTTTACTTATCTGATATTTAGGTCTGACCAAATATGCAAAAGTAATTAGCAATTAAAAACAGTTATTCCTTAGAAGCCGCACTTTATGAAAGGCTGCTGCTCCAGCGCTGGCGGCCAAGGGTCACCTCACGTAGTTTGCTGGCCGCACTCCTCAGCACTCTATGATGGTCAGCCACGAGCAGTGGGCGGAGAGGGGACACTGACAACCAGATCACAGGCAGGGACATAACCCACTGCGTTTTTGGGCACACCTGCAAGGTGCCCTCCTTGTGTGTCAATTGTTTGAATGTTAATTTGGCATATCATACCTCTGACTTAAAACGGTTAGGTAGAAGATCTCCCATCCATGGTTTGCTCCCCAAGTGCCTGCAACCATCAGGGCTGGGACAGTCTGAAACCAGGAGCCCAGAACACAATCCGGGCCCCCAAGTGTAGGTCAGGGACCACGTACCTGGGCTATTACCTGTTGCCCCGCAGGGTGCACACCAGCAAGAAGCAGGACTGGAAATGGAGCCGGGACTTGAACCCAGGGACCCCCACACAGGATGCAGGCATTCCAAGTGGTGTCTTAAATGCTAAGCCAAATGCCTACCCAGCGATATTTTTTTTCTACATCCAAGACTAAAGTATTCTTTAAAGAGGCAATGCAAAATGCAGTCTTCAGAAAATGTGTCTTCCTACCCCCACACAGGGACTCCACCGGCTGAGCACACCCCAACAAGCGCCTCGCTGACCAGCCCCGCAGCTGCAGCTCATTCTGAGAACGCAGAGAAGTCAATGCCTGTAACCACAGTAGCGGCATCAACACTGCTATGTTACGTGAAACTAAGTCTTGTTATGTGCGTAACTTCTAGTTAACTTTAGATATTTAAAGCTTGCCAGACCTTTCTCTCTGTCTCTCTCTCACTGTCTAACTTTGCCTGTCAAATAAATAAATAAATAAATGAATAAATAAATAAATAAATAAATAAATAAAGCAGTGCAGAAACCGAAACAGGGCAGGCGGAAAAGCTGCCTCAGGTGAGGTGACCCGGTTGATTTCACATGAAATATTCAAAGCACGATGTGGAGTGCAGCAGACAACGTACCTTTGCTCTGTAAACGTATCCCAAAACCACCACCACAACCTCCGTGACAAAGACCAAGAGCAGGATGATGACAAACTGTAAAGACACATTGTCAAAAATTAAATACCAATGAGAAAATAGCTCTACTGTCCTGATACAACACAAATATCAGACAACTGCTAGGAGTCCAAGACAAGCGCTAATTCCACCCCAGTTCTCAGGGCAGAGGGTCTGGGACAGTCACACAGGTGCTCACGCCCGCCCTCTGGATGACAGGGCAGCGGGACGCGCCAACTCACCGTGGCGAGTCCGCAGCGACTCTCCCGGATCGTGGCACAGCAGCCGATGAGCCCGATGACGAAAAGCAGCGCTCCTACCGCTATGATCACCACGGCGGGAATGAGCGTGTACACATCCTCAAAGAAGTGGTCGTAGTCGTCGTAGGTGATGAAGACGTAGGCTCCCACGTAGCACAAGATGCCAGCCGCACCCTGGGGAGCACAAGGTCTGAGCACTGCTCTCGGAGCCCCGCCCGTACAGCACTTCTACTACTGCTCAGTAGCTGCTAATGCAACCAGAGTTCTCATTACTCTTCAATCCACGTGTAGACTCCCTCTCCCTCCCCAGGAAAGTTGCAAAGTATCCTGTACTTTATCAAAAACGTCTCTTAGGGAAGCGCTGCAGCACTACTAAGCCACCTCCTGCAACGCCGGTGTCCCACGTCAGGTCTCGGCGGCACCCGGGGAGGAAGCAGAAGATGGCCCAGGAGCTTGGGCCCCTGTACCCACTAGGAGACCAGAAAGGAGTTCCTGGCTCCTGGCTCTGGCCTGGTCCAGACCTGGCTGCTGCAGCCATTTGGAAAGTAAATCGCAGGGTGGAAGCTCTGTTTCTCTTTATCTCTCTGTTTCTCCCTCTTCTCTGTCACTCTTTCAAATAAATAAATACATGAATAAGTCTCAAAAGAACATTTGTTTACTAAAGTTGGGAAGTTTTCCAATTTACCTAATTGGTGGTTCAGCGAGGAGAAGAAATCACGTGTAAAGCAACACTGTAAGCACACGCACACACACGTGCACCTGAGGACCTATCTGTACGGGCTGGTGCTGTGGCACAGTGCGCAAAGCCACCGCCTCCAACTCCAGCATCCCCTATGGGCATCAGTTGGTATCCCGGCTGCTCCACTTCTGACCCAGCTCTGAGCAAAGCAGCGGAAGACAGCCAGAGTGTGGGCCCCTTCCCGAAGAGGGAGATCTGGAGGCAGCCTGGCCCAGCCTGGCCACGGTGGCCATCTGGAGAGTGACAGGGCAGATGGAAGATCTCTCGGTCTCTCCCTCTTTCTCTGTAACTCCCTCAAATAAATAATTTTTTTTTTTTTTTTTTTTTTTGACAGTGAGAGAGAGAGACAGAGAGAAAGGTCTTCCTTTGCCGTTGGTTCACCCTCCAATGGCTGCCGTGGGCGGTGCGCTGCGGCCGGCGCACTGCGCTGATTCGAAGGCAGGAGCCAGGTGCTTCTCCTGGTCTCCCATGCGGGTACAGGGCCCAAGCACTTGGGCCATCCTCCACTGCACTCCCTGGCCACAGCAGAGAGCTGGCCTGGAAGAGGGGCAACCGGGACAGAATCCGGCGCCCCGACCGGGACTAGAACCCGGGGTGCCGGTGCCGCAAGGCGGAGGATTAGCCTGTTGAGCCGCGGCGCCAGCTCAAATAAATAAATAAACGTATTTGTCCCTCCACTGATGGAGCAGAGGCAGGAAGCCTCTGCCGCTGTCGCTGTCCTCCACACGTGAGTAAACCTGAAGTAAGTGACAGAGTTGGGATCTGAACCCAGGCAATCTGACCCCAGAATCCTGCATTTCTAAGCTCTCTCCAGCCCTTGGGGAGAGAAAATAGAATAACTGGTAAGCAGGGCACCCACGTCCAAAAGCCTCGCTCTCCTGCAGAACGAAACTGTGAACCCAGAGGTTCACCCACTAGGAACAAGCGAATACTACATTTATTCCTTACACTGCTTCTCCAACCGTACTGTGCACAGGAATCGCCCCAGTCAACTGCAGACTGCCGCAGCAGGCCTGGGTGGGCCTGAGACAAGCCCCCAGGCGCTGGCGCGCAGGGAGGGGGCGCACGGTGCTCCAGGCCCTTCCCCGCCGCAGGGGCTCACCCACACTCTCATCGCTCACCACGTGCCGCCAGTCCAAAGCCACCTGCTTGTAAGTGAACGAGCAAATGCAGGGTCAGGCCAAGGGTTAAACAAATGCAGAGCGCTGAGACTTTCACAGGAAAAGAACGGCTGCCCCATCTTTTAAAAGTGGACGTATAAATCAGCTTCAAACTAGGAAACGGCCTCCTCTGGGGCCCTGGACGCCATCACCCGCTCTGCACTGGACCCTGGGTTCACAATCCGCCTGGCGTCCTCGGCGCACTTTCTCACACGAGCACTAGGACTGTCAGGTCTGGAAAAGAGGCTCCATTTGTAAGATGGAAAGGCAGCAACTTTTCTTTAAATAACATGGACTTTTGAAAACGAGAAGACACAGACAATGGAGGCAATTTTAACGGACATATTCTTTTTGAATCTCAGCCCTGTCCCCTGCTTTCCTAGGCCACAGCAGTTTCCTTCCTACCTCGTCCTCTCCAGCACCAGACTCTAAAATGTCCACTTTGTGCTGTATTTTTTTTTTTTTTGACAGGCAGAGTTAGATAGAGACAGAGAGAAAGGTCTTCCTTCCATTGGTTCACCCCCAAAATGGCAGCTAGGACCAGTGTGCTGTGCCGATCTGAAGCCAGGAGCCAGGTGCTTCCTTCTGGTCTCCTATGCGGGTGCAGGGTCCAAGCACTTGAGCCTGTTTGTTTGTTTTTTTAAAAAATATTTACATAGCCGGCGCCGTGGCTCAATAGGCTAATCCTCCACCTTGCGGCGCCGGCACACCGGGTTCTAGTCCCGGTTGGGGCGCCGGATTCTGTCCCGGTTGCCCCTCTTCCAGGCCAGCTCTCTGCTATGGCCAGGGAGTGCAGTGGAGGATGGCCCAGGTGCTTGGGCCCTGCACCCCATGGGAGACCAGGAAAAGCACCTGGCTCCTGGCTCCTGCCAGGATCAGCGCGGTGCGCCGGCTGCAGCGGCGGCCATTGGAGGGTGAACCAGCGGCAAAGGAAGACCTTTCTCTCTCTGTCTCTCTCTCTCACTGTCCACTCTGCCTGTCCATATAACAAATACTAAAGAAAAAAAAAAAGATTTACGTATTTATGGGCCAGCGCCATGGCTTACTTGGCTAATCCTCCTCCTGTGGCACTGGCACCCCGGGTTCTAGTCCCGGTTGCTCCTCTTCCAGTCCAGCTCTCTGCTGTGGCCCGGGAAGGCAGTGGAGGATGGCCCAGGTCCTTGGGCCCTGCACCCACGTGGGAGACTGGGAGGAAGCGCCTTGCTCCTGGCTTCAGATTGGCACAGCGTTGGCTGTGGTGGCCATTAGGGGAGTGAACCAACGGGAGGAAGACCTTTCTCTCTGTCTCTCTCTGTCTATAATTCTTTCTCTGTCTCTCTCACTGTCTAACTCTGCTTCTCAAAAAACTTTAAAAAAAAAAAAAGATTTACTTATTTATTTGAAAGTCAAAGTTACACAGAGAGAGAGAGGCAGAGAGAGAGAGAGAGAGAGAGAGGTCTTTAATCCGATGGTTCACTCCCCAACTGGCCGCAACGGCTGGAGTTGCACCAATCCGAAGCCAGGAGCCAAGAGTCTCTTCTAGGTCTCCCATGCAAGTGCAGGGTCCAAGTACTTGGGCCATCTTCCGCTGCTCTCCCAGGCCATAGCAGAGAATGGGATTGGAAGTAGAGCAGCCAGGACTTGAACTGGCGCCCATATGGGATGCCGGCACTACAGGCAGTGGCTTTACCTGCTACGCCATGGCGCCAGCCCTGTGCTGTATTCTTTATTCCTCTGTCCTTCGCTGCAGCACCAAAGCTTCACCGGTCAGAGCAGCTCACCACCTGAGAGACCCCGACCATCTCCATCTGCAGGTCCCACCGACACCTCGCCATCGACCTTGCCTGACCCCTGTCCACCCCACCTAACCTTCCCTTACATTCCTAGTTGGCAAAAGGCACCACCCACCAAAGTTTCCTGGCCAAACACCTGAGCATTCTCCCATCCTCCCTCCTTGCCCCATCTCTGTAACCCCACCAATCACCAAACCCCAAGTTTATTTCCAAAACATTGGGAATCTCAATTTCTCTTCTACCTCACTGCAGGGCTTAATTTGGGCCTGATCATTTTCATCCTATGTCTTACTTTTTCTTTTTTAAAGATTTATTTGAGAGGCAGAGTGACAGAGAGAGAGAGAAAGAGAGAGAGAGAGAGAGAGAGATTGATTGATTCTACTGCTGGTTTACTCCCCTAATGGCCATGCCACCCAGTGCTGGGCCCAGCTGAAGCCAGGGGCCAGCACTGTGTCCAGGTCTCCCACATGGTGGCAGGGGCCCAAGCACCTGGTCCACCTTCGCTGCTTTCCCAGGTGCACCAGCAGGGAGCTGGGTGTGAAGCGAGCAGCCGGGACTCAGAACGGCGCTCTGCTGTGGGAAGCTGCCACTGGAAGAGGTAACCTCACCCACTGCGCCACAGTGCTGGCCTCTGAATATTATTTTCATCCTTCCTGCCCCTTAATAAATGCTCTTTAAAAATTTATTTATTTGAAAGGCAGAGTTACAGAGACAGGGAGAGACAGAGGAGATCTTCTATCCACTGGTTCACATCCAAATGGCTGCAATGGCTGGAGCCGGGCCAGCCTGAAGCCAGGAGCTTCCTCCGGGTCTTTCACGTGGATACAGGGACCCAAGGACTTGGGCCGTCCTCTGCTGATTTCCAAGGTGCATCAGCAGGGAGCAGGATCAGAAGTAGAGCATCTGGGACTTGAACTGGTGCCCATATGGGATGCCAGCGTCACAGGTGGCGGCTTTACCCACTATGCCATAACACCAGCCCCAACAAATGTTCTTTATATTACCAGGGTTATGTTTGTTAAAAATATAATCCAGACCAAAGCCTAAGCTTTCTTAAAATCAGGATGGGATGAGTTAAGTACCCCGATGACCAAAGCTGTTCATCCCTGCTCTCAGCCTCTCATTATCCCCCATACACCTGAAGAACATAAAACTGTTACACCAGATGTACCTCACAGTCTAACCTTTTTTAAGATTTACTTATTTATTTCAACGGCAGAGTTACAGAGACAGAGAGAGAGGGAGAGACAGGGAGAGATCTTCCATCCACTGGTTCACTCCCCAGATGGCCACAACAAGCAGAACTGGGTGAGGCCAGGGCCAGGAGCTTCCTCCAGGACTCCTCTGTGGGTGCAGGAGCCCAAGCACTTGGGCCATCTGCTGCTGCTTTCCCAGGTGCACTGGCAGGGAGCTGGATGGGAAGTGGAGCAGCCGGGACTAGAACCAGCACACACATGGGATGCCAGTGCCACAGTCAGCAGCTTTACTTACTATGCCACAGTGCCGACCCCACAGTCTCACTTTTTTAAAAAAAAAAAAGATCTGTTTATTTGAAACTCAGAGTTACACAGAGAGAGGAGAGGCAGAGAGAGAGAGAGAGTGAGGTCTTTCTTCCATCTGCTGGTTCACTCCCCAACTGGCCACAATGGCCGGAGCTGGGCCCATCTGAAGCCGGGAGCTTCCTCCAGGTCTCCCGTGTGAGTGCAGGGGCCCAAGGACTGGGCCGACTTCCGCTGCTTTACCCCATAGTCTCACTTCTTTACGTCTGCTGCTCTCCTGGGAACTCGGGCGCTCACTGACGCAGCTGACACGCTGCCTCGTCCCTCTGGAGGTCATCCTGGCCGTTTCAGGCCGGGCTGGGAGCCCCTCCTCCAGGCACACGGCCCGGCACAGCTCCAGCAGCGTCCACGACAGCGGCAACAAGCAAGTGGCGCCTGCACCACCTCCCGTGCCCTGAACGGTGCCGGGAGGTACCAGCTACCCGAGCACACCTCGCCTTAACCCTCCCCTGAAACTTCCCCTCGCACCACACGCTTTGGTCTGCACTTGCTTCTCCTCTCTCAGTCCAATGGCTCTGGTTTCTAGTTCACTATTCCAACACAATGTGGCCACTTAATCCAGGTTAGGTCTTTAAAAGTGTGTGGAAAATGAATATTAAAAAAGGTATGGGGCTAGCATTGTGGCGTACCAGATAAAGCGGCCACCCGCCCTGTCAGCATGCCATATGGGCACCAGTTCATGTCCCAGCCGCTCCCTGCTGGTAGCCTGGGGAAAGCAGCCAAAGATGGCCCAAGTGCTTGGGCCCTTCCACGTCTGTGGGAGACCTGGAATAAGCTCCTGGCTCCTAGTTTTGGCCTGGATCAGGCCCGGCCGTTGCAGCCATCTAGGGCGTGAACCACTGGATGGAAGATCTCTCCCCTTCTGTGTTAACTTTGCCTTTCAAATAAATAAATCTTTTTAAAAAATTCATGGGTTTCAAAAAGAATTTTAAGATTTACTCACTTCACAGGCAGAGTGGGAAAGGAAGGGGGGAGAAGGGGGGGGAGCGAGTGAGGGAGGGAGGGACAGACTGATTATCTTCCATCCCCACCGGGCTGCAAAGCCCAGGGCTGGGCTAGGCGGAAGTCAGAAGCAGGAACTCCCGGGCCCGAGAGCCTGGGCCACCCTCCGCTTTCCCAGGCACATTAGCAGGGAGCTGGATGGGAAGTGGAGCAGCCGGGTCTCAAAGTGGTGCTCCGACATGGGGTGCCTGCATCGCTCTGCCACAAAAGTGTTTGCACCAAATAAACTTACCTCTTCATCTCACTGCCCATGAACTTTTTAACACACCCTCATACACGAGTTTATAAGCAGTACCCTATAAATATAAATGCTGCACTTGCAGCAACTATGCCTGCTCAAAGACCCCTGAGCTCTCTGACGCTGGTTTCGGGGGGGGGGGGGGGTAAGCACAGGAGGGAAGAGGAGAAATGGCCCCGGCGTTTGGGTGTATTTATTACGGAGGACTCGCGTCACTCGCTATTCTTACCAAGCCCTCCTTTTCTGACCACGTTCAGTGCGGTAAGCACACACACTTTGCTAGGGAACGTCGGTCCTCAAGCTGAGCTGTAAGAAACCCTAAATGTGATTTAATCAAACCATTTTCACTAGTCAGCTCTCTGCTCTTTGGGGGTTTAGCTTCTGACTCCAAAAGGCAGTAGTTCTTAAAAGGTTTGGATTAAAATGAACTCTATTTTGTTGAAGATGTTTTTGACCTACATGGATTTCAATGAGAAGGAAGCAATGGCGGATGTGTGCACTCAACAGTGAATTCCGAGCACTGGACAGTGAAGAACTTGCATGTCAGATGCGACAGAGATTCTGAGGAGACCGCGCTCAGTGCTGCCTGGGCATGGGCCAACTGGAAACGCTTCCTGTGCCCCCACTCTCCACCCGGCCGGAGGCAGCACCGGAGGCAGAGGCGGAAGACCAACCAAGGACGGACATATAGACGGAGAGGAACGCGGGCAGGTGAGCAGGGCGCACTGCCTGTAAAGCCCTCTCAGACTCTCAAGTTGCAAACCAGGCAAAGCAGCTTGCACAGTGGAGCTGAGAACACAACGGAGCACTACGTCAGCAACACGCAGTGGGAAGCAGCTTACCAGCTGCACACACCCAAGCAGACACCGCACGATCGCGGACTCGAGGCCACGTGAAATCAAATGGCTTCTAAACAGAGACTATGTAGAAGTCTCCCGACCCAAAGACAACTCCCAAGCACTCCTCTATGTAACTGCACACAGCTTCTAAAGCCACACAGCAGCGTATGATGACGCCAGTGCCGGTGTCCCAACAGCTGAACGCCTACCACAGCCACAAGCCACTTCTGTAACAACACCCAGCCATCAGTACGGGCACACCAGAGTGCAAGGACACAGAGAGTCCGTGCTAAACGGAGGGGAGGCTGTGACTCCCAACTGGTCAGCCGAGGGACTCTGCAGGCTAAGGACGACGTGGCTATTAGAAAAGCTAAACCAGTGGTGAGCCGATTAAACCCTCCCTTGGGGGGGCCACACGGGATTGAGACGCGTCAAAGGAGCTGAGGTTTGCCAACAACGCAGCTGCAAGGAGGGGGTGGGGAGGACGCGGCAGCAGGAGCTGGGAGCAGCTGGGCTGAGAACCTGAGCCTGCAAGGAGGATTTGAGCCAGCACAGCGCACTAAAAATACTCGCCTCTCAACAAGGAAGTGAAAGGAAGCCTAGGGGCACGGCTGAGGTGGGACCCACACAAGGGTCTGAAGCATTCTTTCTCTTTCAATAAGCCTATGCTCTACATGCAGCCGCAGAGACCACTCTGCCAGGGCCTCTCATGACATCTAACCGCTCCTCTAAAACTAACACTATCTCGTCATCACATTTTGGAAGTGTATAATTCCAGAAGTATGTTACTTCTTTTACCCTTTCTCTATACATAAACAAATGGAAATCTCTTAAAGTAAGAACTGCCATTCTTAGAGAAAATTGCTTCTCCTGTTGTTTAAAAATTAATTTGGGGAGGGGGGTATTTCAAGCCCTGTATGAAGGAGCGGATGAGCTGATGAAATGCTAAAATCTACTCAACTTCATTTCACCCACAGTGAGACATGCCGCAAGAACAGGGGGATATTAAAGCAAGAGATCTGGGGCTGGCGATTTCCACCGCGGGCTACGCCACGCCTGGACACCAGCATCCCACGCTGAAGCACGGGTTCCAGGCCCGGCTGCTCCACTTCCAACCCCGCTCCCTGCTAGTGTGCCTAGTAAGGCACCAGAAGAGGGCCCGAGAGTGTGGGCTCCTGCCGCCCACGTGGGAGACCTGGATGGAGCTCCTGGCTTCAGCCTGGCTCAGCCCTGGCCATTGCGGCCATCTCAAGAGTGATCCAGCGGACGAAAGATTAATTAATCTCTCTCATCACTCTGCGTTTCAGATAAATAAATCTTAAACAAACAAACCCAGAGGCTTGGTACAAGCTGGGGAGATAAAACAGCTCAGCTGTCAGGAACAGGAACGGGGCGGGAAGAGGAGGCAAAGCAGCAGTGGCTTCCTTGCAATGGTCTGAATCAGACAGGCTGACCCCATCTGGAGCTGGCCGGGATCGGAAGGCAAGACAGGGGACAACGCGGACGTGGTGCTGCCGAAAGCGCTGTGCCTGTCTGCACGCCCGGGCAAGCAGCAGTGACTGACGGCAGAGGGAAACAGAAAGGGAGTCAACAGAGGAAGTCCGGGCAAAGCCTGCCCTGGACCCCACACCTCGTATGGAAGCAGGTTTTCCAGGCAGCAGTCACACTGGACTGTGACGTCTCACTTCTCTCCTGATCACGCCATTTCCTGGGCCAGTGTCCCAGCACTCTACTTAGCCCAGTACTGAGTCCAGGCACACCCCTCAGCTGGCTTCATCTACACACAGCTCCTGTTCCAAAACACACCGCTCCTGCCCAAGCCACTGCCTGTGAATTTCAGTTACTTTCCTATCAACTTTAAGGAAAGGAAAAAAGACAATTCCACAGTCCTCAAATCCTCTTTCATCAGAAATTAAAGCTATGGGGCCGGCCCTGTGGCGCAGCAGGTAAAGCCTCAGCCTGCAGCACTGGCATCCCATATGGGCACTGGTTCAACCCCAGATGCTCCACTTCCCATCCCGCTCCCTGAAGATGTGCTTGGGAAAGCAGTGGAGGATGGCCCAAGTGCTTGGGCTCCTGCACCCAAGGAGACCTGGAAGAAGCTCCTGGCTTCAGATTAGCCCAGCCCCGACTGTTGCAGCCATTTGGGGAATGAACCAGCAGATGGAAGATATCTCTGTCTCTCCCTCTCTCTCTCTGTAACTCTTTCAAAATTAATAAATAAATCTTTTTTAAAAATTAAAGCTGTTCTTACCAAGACTTTTACAAGCTATTAAAGCTTTCTGTCTAATAAATTGGTTCCAAATAAAACCAAGCCAGATTCAAAGATGTGTGAGGGGACAGTAGGGCCTCCGGCTTGGAGGGACTACAGATAATAAAGAAAAGCAGTTTCGGGTGCAATCTAGCAACAGTAATCCTCAGCGGCCACGCATTCACACTGGTTCCTCTTCTCAAAATTTACTGGTAAGAAAGTCAGATGGAAACAAAGGTTTGCATGCCCATCAAGCAAGCAACAAAGTAATAATAAGAATGGAAGAGGAGGAGCCCTGACACCCAGAGGCAAGCTTGCGTTCTAGAAGGCCCTGAAACATCCTGGAAAAGCATAATTTAATAATGTTTGGGGCACAGTGGGGCAACAATACACATTCGTAAACAGACACTTAAAACCAAACCAAGGTCCCTTCCACCCACATGGGAGACTGGGGATGAATTCGGGGTTCCTGGCTGTGGCCTGGCCTAGCCCTGGCTGTTGCAGCATTTAGGGAATAAACTACCATATGGAGGAGAGTCCTCCTCCCTTTTTCATTAAAAAAAAAAAGAAAGAAAGAAAAGAAAAGAAAAGAAAAGAAAGGAAAAAGAAAATAGTTAACATTTTAAAAAAATTACAGAAACAGGCATTTGTATGGTGATTAAATCGCCACTTTGGAGGGCCTAGGCCCATATCTGGCTTTGCTTCTAACTGCAGCTTCCTGCTGATGCGTGCGCTGGACAGCAGCAGACGACGGCCCCCGTAGGTGGGCCTTGCCATCCTTGTGGGGAAGCAGACTGAGTTTTGGGATCCTGGCTGTGGCCTGGCCCAGCCTGGCTGTTGCAGGCAGTTTGGGAGTGAGCTAACAGGCAGAAGACCTCTTTCTGTCAGTCTCTACCATTCAAATATAAACAAACAGTACACTTAACTGTTTTTGGTTGACAATTTAAGATATATATTCAGTTAATCACCAGAGCTCAGCATAGAGAACAATGCCATTACCCCAAATGCCCTCTTCCTTATGTGATACACACAGTCAGACCTCCCTCTGCAGCCCGACCCACTCACACTGACTGCATCTTTCCTTCCGAAGATGACGCACGCACGGGCTCACACAGCATGTGCCTTCCTCAGTCTGGCTTTGATCACTCGGCATAATGCCTCTGTGGTTCATAAAGGCCACTGCTGGTAACCATAGTCCATTCTTCCTTTATTACACTGAACAGGTCTGCCACTGCTTATTCTCACACTGAATTAAGCTTGGTTTCCAGTTTTGAGCGACTATGAACAAGTATCTGCTACGTCTTTTGTATTCTTATAGCTGAAGGAATACAGTGCAAAGGCGGAATTGGTCTAATACGTTTCACGTTTATTGAGGTGTTAATTATGACTTAAAATAAACAAAATAATCAGGCCATTAAAAAAAAAAAAACACCACGATGTTAACATAAACTGTCTTTGGCTAGTGAAATCAAGGTGACACTCGGGGCTGGCGCTGTGCGCAGCAGGCTAAGCCTCCCCCTGTGGCGCCTGCATCCCACATGGGTGCTGGATTGTGTCCCGGCTGCCCTACTTCTGACCCAGCTCCCTGCTAATGCTCCGAGAAAGCAGTGAAAGAGGGCCCAAGTCCTTGGTGCTAAAATCTACTCAACTCCTTTCTATCACCCACAGTGAGACATGCCGCAAGAACAGGGGGATATTAAAGCAAGAGATCTGGGGCTGGCGATTTCCACCGCGGGCTACGCCACGCCTGGACACCAGCATCCCACGCTGAAGCACGGGTTCCAGGCCCGGCTGCTCCACTTCCAACCCTGCTCCCTGCTAGTGTGCCTAGTAAGGCACCAGAAGGGGGTCCGAGAGTGTGGGCTCCTGCCGCCCACGTGGGAGACCGGATGGCGCTCCTGGCTTCAGCTCGTCCCAGCTCTGGCCATTGCGGCCATTTAGGGAGTGAATCAGTGGATGAAAGACCTGTCTGTCTCTCCCTCTCTCTCTCTCTCTGCAACTCTAGCCCTCAAATAAATAAAATCTTTAAAAACAAAAAAAGTGATATTTGACAGGTGGGTTTTTTAAAAAATCTTTTTTCAACATCTTAGGAAAGCAAATTACTTCCATAATCAGAAAAATATTTAAAATTACATCTGAAATTGAGATGCTGTTCTCTTGAACATGAGTTAATTCCTAGATCTGTCCTTTAACCACCAAATAAAATGGGCATCTCTTTCATCTGTCTCATGTATCACTTTGCTTAGATCTACTGGGCTGTGACTCATCCTTTAGTTTTTATTTATTTATTTGAAAGGCAGGGTTACAGAGAGGTAGAGGCAGAGCAAGGTCGTCCATCTGCTGGTTCACTCCCCAGATGGCTGCAATGCCCAGGGCTGTGCTAATCCAAAGCCAGGAGCCAGGAGTTTCTTCCCAGTCTCCCACACGGGTACCGGGGCCCAAGGACTTAGACCATCTTCTGCTGCTTTCCCAGGCTGCAGCAGGGAGCTGGATCAGAAGTGGAGCAGCTGGGACTCGAACCGCTGCCCATGTGGGATGCCGGCACTGCAGGTGGCGGCTTTACCTGCTATGCCACAGTACCGGTCCCTAGATGTTTCTAATTATCCAGCACAACTCTGATTGTCCTTCGCTGGACATTTTCTTCTTTGTTTCACAAACATCACCTTTCAAGGAGACAAGAATCTTACAGAATCCGACGTGGACGGGGTGTGAAGGTTTGACCATCAGCCTTTGCCATCAACATCGCTGTCCTTACTGCCGTTCCTTGCAAACAGTTGAATCTTTCCGACTCGGCTGTTACCCTGATGGACGCCCTTCCATTCAGCCCACTTCCACTTGCTCGGCATTTACTTTTTTTTTTTTTTAATTTATTTTGAAAAACAGAGTTACAGAGAGAGAAAGAAAGATTTTCCATTTTCTGGTTCACTCCCCAAATAGCCGCAACAGCCAGGGCTATGCCAGGCTGAAGCCAGGAGCCAGGAGCTTCTTCCGAGTCTCCCATGTCGGTGCAGGGGCCCAGGGACTTGGGCTGTCTTTTGCTGCTTTCTGGGTGTAGCAACAGGGAGCTGGATTGGAAGTGGAGCCCACATGAGATGTTGGCACTGCAGGCCGCAGCTTAACCTACTGTGCCAGTGTCGGCCCCTGTATTTATTTATTTATTTATTTTTTTACAATCATTGTTCATCCAGCTTAATGAAGTCCATCTGTTTAAACCAATTTATACCTACAAGCCAAAGATTCAAAAGTTCAAGATGCAACAAAATTGGCGATGAAGCAATTGCCAGAGCCAAACTATGGTAGCAGCTGCAGGGTTCCCGGGGTGAGGGGAGACGCACTGCCTCTGAGACCCTCTGTGCCCACCCGCCCTGACGGTAAGAGTCTGGTGTTCTGTAGGGCTCGGGGTGGCAGCTGTCCCGGGTGGGTCGTGTGTCTCAGCACTCACTGCACACTCCCGCGAGATGAGAAGGAACCACCAGTGCCAGCGAGTCCCTGTGCACTGAGGGAAGTGGTGGGCACGGGCAGGAGGAGACCCGAGCCTGTTCGGGACAGCAGTGTCCGGGAGGAGGCCAGCGAGTAAGTCACTCAGCGGAGCGGCCCTCCCTCGCGCCCTCACAGCACGGCAGCCGCTCACTGGGTGCCTGATTCCAGGGCGCACTTGGCTGGCACAGGAACAAATATTGTGGAAAATATTTTCGGCAAAAAGACCTAACCTGAACGGATCTAATGGAATAAAATTCACTGCAATGTTCCGAGGCAGGATAAATATCCTACAGTGCTCATTTCAACCTATCCCTCAAGTTGCAGAGAGCTCGCTGCCGATTCCAAGGGTTAAATGACTCCTCAGGCCTCGGGCGCCTGGTCAGTGGGACTGGTGACTAAGAATGGGGAAGACTGGAAACAGTCATTTTCTTAACTGCCAACGACCATCTCAGAAAGACATGCCCTATTATGTACCATGACTTCCTCCCAACAAAGTCAGCTTTTCTTCCAGTGAACTGCAAACAGCTAAGAAAAAAAAAAAGCTGTTAGCTGAAGGCGTGTTGTCAGAGGAGCCCCTCCCGACGGGAGAAATACAGGAGGCCGGGAGGACGCGCAGGGTTCAGAGGAAGGTCCCGGATCAAAGGACCACCATGTTCCCAACTCGCAGCGCAGGAGGAGCTGGGAACTGGGCAAGACGGGGAACTCTTCCTTACACCGCTTTCTTTGAGCGCAGGAAGGTACCCCCTTCTGTCGGTAATGCCAACAGGCCTCTTGCCCACCCCCTCAGTCTCGAAGCCCCCACTTCCTCCCAATCCCCCGCACTGGCTCCCTCCTCACACTCAGGGCAGACGTCAGAGGTCACCCCCTCTGACGTGCTCCACCACGAAGTTCCCTGAGAAGGGGTCCTCACTGGGCGCCACGTCAGCAGCAGCCTAGGCAACACGAGCTCACCGGCCACTGGCAGATCCGTCTAAGGAAGCGAGTTACACACCCACAGGAGGAAGCAGGAGAGGGGTCCGTCTGTCTGCCCGACACTTCACCTGGGCACTAGTGAGCAGCGACAGTGCGTATTCCCACCTCGTTTCCCCCCACCCGCATTTACCCAGGAGTTGGGCCTGGTAGCAGCCCCTCCCCCGCCAGCCCCCAGGACTCTCAGTGCTGCCATCACCTCCCACAACAGACGGGCAACAAGGACCTAACAGGTGAGACTGCAATTCCCCGCGCAGCCCCTGTAACGCAGCACATGAACCAAGTCAACACGAGCCGACCGGCTCTTCCAGCAGGGTACAACCAGCAAAGGTGACCGGTGCGACATGCACTTGTCTGTCTATTCCATTAACTCTCCAGAATGGAAAGCTCCTATTCCACAGACTTAAATTAGTTCTAGATAAGGCCTCCTGGGTCAGACCAGCCGCACAACATCAAGAGCTCCGCGTGGCGCTGGCACAGGTGTAATCTATAGGATAAGCTAATAACGACTGTTTACTACTCCAGCCTTCCAACTTCACTCCCAACCCCAGCGAGGAAGCCCCGTGCCGGGGCGCGGCACTACGGCAGGGCTAGCCGACACGCTGGGCCCACAGCTGCATCACCACCTAACAGCACAGATCTGCGAGGCACACAAAACCATCTCCCACGCTACAAGCCAAGCATTCGGAAACGCGGTGGGCAGTTCTCCATTTCCTTAGGAAACTGCAGGATTTCAGAAACGAGTCCTCCCCTCGGCACAGGCACAGCGTCATGCCGGGCCGTCCTCAACTCCTCACCACCACAGGCACAGCGTCACGCCGGGCCGTCCTCAACTCCTCACGGCATCCACAGGAAGCCCTGCAGACGTCAGCTCACTGAGCGCACACCACGTCTGTTTGCACACCGCAGCGCACCCAGATCTAACTGGTGCGCTCTGAAGATCCTGCCTAAGCAGTTCAGCTCTAACACTTGGCAACAATCAGCCACCGCGGGCGGCTACAGCGGAGCGCGGGCAACAGAGCTGCCACTACCCACTAGAGCCGCCCAGGGCACCCCAGGAACTGACACGTGTCAGCTCAGACACGCTGGGGGCTCGACACCCAGCCGAGACGCCGGGATTCAAGTCCCGGCCCCACTGCAGACTCCAGCTCCCTGCTCGGCGGAGAGGAGGCCCATCCTTCTGTAGAAGGTGCTAACCCTGGGGCCGGCGCCGCAGCTCACTAGGCTAATCCTCCGCCTAGCGGCGCCGGCACACTGGGTTCTAGTCCCGGTCGGGGCGCCGGATTCTGTCCCGGTTGCCCCTCTTCCAGGCCAGCTCTCTGCTGTGGCCAGGGAGTGCAGTGGAGGATGGCCCAGGTGCTTGGGCCCTGCACCCCATGGCAGACCAGGAAAAGCACCTGGCTCCTGGCTCCTGCCATCGGATCAGCGCAGTGCGCCGGCCGCAGCGGCCATTGGAGGGTGAACCAACGGCAAAGGAAGACCTTTCTCTCTGTCTCTCTCACTGTCCACTCTGCCTGTCAAAAAAAAAAAAAAAAGAAAGAAAGAAGGTGCTAACCCTGGAACGCATTACAAATCCCAGGGAGAACCTGTTCATTTTTGTGGTACTTCCTCATTTTTTTTAAATTTTTTTTTGAGAGAAGAGACAGCGTGTCCATCCCCTGATTTGCTCCTCACCCGCCTGCAAAGGCCTAAGCCAGAAGCCGGGACTCAGGCCAGGTCTCCCACGTGGGTCAGGAACCCGACTACTTGAGCCATCAGCTGCCGCCTCCCAGGCTGTGGATTAGCAGGGCTGGGAATACAACCCACGCACACTGACGTAGGACCTGGGAAAGTTAACCTGTGCAGTAACTGCTAGGCCAAGCGCGTTCCCAGGATTTGATTTCTCAGACAAATTGTAGGTTAGGGCGCTGGCGCTAAGGCGCAGAGGGCTGAAGCCACAATCGGCAGCATCTGCTCCCATACGGGCGCTGGTTCGAGCACAGACTGCTCCACTTCTGATGCCGCTCCCTGTGGATGTGCCTGGGAGAGCGGAAGACGGCCCACGCCCTTGGGCCTCGTCATCCAAGTAGGAGACCTGGAAGAAGCTGCAGGCTCCTGGCTTTAGCCTGGCCCAGCCCCGGTCACTGTGGCCACTTGGGGAGTAAACCTGCAGGTGGAAGATCTCTTGTCTCTCCTAACTCTTTCATATAAGTAACACTTTTTTAAAAAGTACCGTTTAAATGCTGCTATAGTTTGTTAAAAAATCACCTGGAATGCTATATTATTTTTCATTTATTTTACTTTGAAACAGAGTTACAGAGGGGGAGACACAGAAATTCTCTATCCACTGGTTCACTCTCCAGATGGCCACAATGGCCGTGCTGGGTCAGGCAGAAGCCAGGAGCTTCACCTGGGTCTCTCACACGGGTGCAGGGGCCCAAGCCCTTGGGCCATCTTCCACTGCTTTTCCAGGCCATCAGCAGTGGAGCAGCAGGGACTCAAACCAGCGCCCGTGTGGGATGCCAGCACTGCAGGTGGTGGCTTCACCTGCCCTGCCACACAGTAGCCCCAGCAGAGTTTCCAAACATTAAAATCTGAGTCTTAGCAAAAACTGCCTCCAACACAGCCCACCAAGTCCCCTCCTCTTTCCAACCCTCGCGTGGTGCACCCTGCTCTGGAGCACGGGACCCCGGGTCTGAACGCGGGCTCCGCCACTCCCGGGTGTGCAACTTCCATTCGGCCAACGCTGGCGTCCTCGTCCGGACGTCCTCAGACCGGCGACTCCCTACAGCCCTGGTCCCTGCTGCTCCTCACTGATCGCTGAGCTCTCACTCAGCGTAAGGTAAATCTCAGAGCACTAAGTACACTGAAAGTAGAAGAATGTAAAAATGGGGAGGAGGAGGGAGGAAGGGGGCGACGGGTGGGAAGTACCACTGCGTTCCTAAGTCTGTATATAAGAAACACAAGAGATTTGCTTACCTTAAAAATTTATTTTAAGAATTATCAGAAAAAAGTTAAATCCTGGATAGTGGGGTTAGAAGAAAGCTGTAACAGTCAGGCTGTGTGAGGACGCCCCATGGGAAACGCCGGCACCCCTCCTCGAGGGCCCCCGCTGAGGCCATGGACTACAACCTGTCAGGAGACGCACACAGAACTCCAGGGCTCAGACACGCTGGGGGCTCGACACCCAGCCGAGACGCCGGGATCCAAGTCCCGGCCCCACTGCAGACTCCAGCTCCCTGCTCGTGCACACCCTCGGGTCCCCGACACCCACTGGGAGACCCAGACGTCCCAGGTTCCTGGCTTTGGCTGCTGCTGGCATCAGGAGAGTAAGCCAGCGGATGGAAGATTCCTGTCTGTCTCTGCCTAGCAATTAACTTTTAAAAGCAAATCCCATTCCTCATCAGTTTCGCTGCACTATGCCACGACTGATACGCGCTTAACTTCCTCATCACAGCTCAGTCTCCCCACCCCATGCACACCCCTCTAACTCAGATAGAGGGTGTCTGTACCAGCCGCTGTGACCTCAGCCTGGGCAGGAGTTCAGCAACACAGCCTCCCCACTGGCACGATTCTGGCACACACTTCGACGATTCCCAAAGATTCGGGAACTGATTAACCAACACGAAACAGTATTACAGTGATTAAACACTAAACACAACGGTTCCGGTACTCCAAGGCTTTGTTATGTAAACAATTCCAGTCCCTGCGTTTCACCAGCCTCCATCTCACCTAACACATACTTTGAAAACCAGCGGCCGGTGCTGTGGCTCAGCGGGTTAAACCGCAGCCTGCTACACCAGCATCCCATATGAGCACCGGTTCCGGTCCCAGCTGCTCCACTTCTTCTTCTTCTTTTTTTTTTTTAATATTTTTATTTATTTATTTGAGAGCTACAGTTACAGACAGAGAGGTCTTCCATCAGCTGGTTCACTCCCAAATGGCCACGTGCAGCCAGAGCTGCACCGATCCAAAGTCGGGAGCCAGGAGTCCATCCAGGTCTCCCACGTGGGTGCAGGGGCCCCAGCTCTTGGGCCGTCCTCTGCTGCTCTCCCAGGTGCGTTAGCGGGGGAGCTGGATCAGAAGTGGAGCAGGGGCCGGCGCTGTGGCGTAGCAGCTTAATCCTCTGCCTGCAGTGGCGGCATCCCATATGGGTGCTGGTTCTAGTCCCGGCTGCTCCACTTCCCATCCAGCTCTCTGCTGTGACCTGGGAAAGCAGTAGAAGATGGCACAAGTCCTTGGGCCCCTGCACCCGCATGGGAGACCCAGAGGAAGCTCCTGGCTCCCGGCTTCTGATATCAGCCCAGCCCGGGCAGTTGCGGCCATTTGGGGGGTGAACCAGTGGATGGAAGACCTCCCTCCCTCCCCCCACCCTGTAACTCTAACTTTCAAATAAATTGGGGGGGAGGGGGGAAATCTGAAAATTGAAATTCCAGATGAGGCTACCCCCCCTTTTATTTGAAAAGAAGACCCGCGCGGGTGATTCTGAGACCCCGTCCAGCCCCAGGCAGAGCTGCTCCCTTCGCCCCACGAAGCGCGCCCCCCACGCAGGCGGTGCACGGCGCTCCGGTGCGGGAAGTGCGGTCCGCGGGAGCGGGGTTGGGGAGGGCGAGCTCAGAGGCCGGGACCCCCGGGGGCTCCAGGCGCAGCACCAGGGGAAGGGGGCCTGGCCCACGGCGGCGGCGCGGCGAGGAGAAGCCCGGAAGGTGCACCCCGGGGGCAAAGTCCGCCGGCGCTGGAGGGCGAGGCCCGCCGCGGACGCGAGTCCCCGGGCGGACACCGGACGGGCGCCGCCGCCGCCGCCGCCCCCTCGGCGGCCACCGCGGAGCCACCGGGTCTCAGTCCCCGAGTGCAGAGGCCCAGGCCAGCCGCCCCGGGGCGGCCGGGGTGGGGGGCCTCGGCTTCGCGGGGCAGCTGCCGGCCACGGCCCGCTCCCCCGACAAAGGCCGCCCCGGGGCAGGGCCCGGGCTGCGGACGCCGAGCCCTGGCGCGGGGCCCGAGCGAGCGCGGAGGCCGATGAGGTATTACACGGGGCGGCCCCGCCAGCGCCCCCGCAGCCCGCGCCGGCGTCGGGACCCCCGCGAGGCGGCCTCCGGAGCCCCCCGGCCCCGCTCACCCAGAAGATGAGGTTGAGGAAGACCAGCACGGTCTTGGACGACGTGATGCCGCACTGGCCCATGGCGCCGGCGGCCCGCGGCGGCAATGGCGGCGGCGCCTCTCCGCTGGGAACCGCGCGGCCTGCGAGCCGCTCCCCGAAGCCCCGGCGCCGTCGCGCAGCCCGGCCCAGCAGGCACCTCGCTCCGCCGCGCAGCCGCCGCAGCCCGCACCCCGCGCGGCTCCCTGGCAACCAGGTCCCGCCCCCGCGGCCCCAGCCAATCGTCCTCGCGCGTGGCTGCACGAGGCCACGCCTCTTAAAGGAGGCGCCTCTCTCGGCCTCTGGCCGCCCTTGGGAGGTTCCGGTGGTCCAAACCCACTCCCCTGCCGCTGAATGGCGTTTACTGGGCCGGCTTTATAGACGCCTCCGAGCTGGGCGGGCTGGCGACACTGCTGGTTTCTCCACGCGGAGGTTTTCCCGCCCGTCTGGGAGAAGGGCAGGTGTTTATGGAAACCTGATTGTGCCAGGGACAGGGTGGCTGTCAGGGTCGCCAGGGAGTGGAGAAGGCGGCTGCTGGGCTGGCCAGGCAAGCAGGGAGGAGCCAGAGCGTGGGTCGCCTGGGTGTCATCTCAGGTCTGCTCCAGGGCTGAGCGTTTTGGACCAAGAGTGACCGCGGTTACAGACACTTCTTGCATGGAGACTGCACACTCTTCCCCCTCCAGGGTCAGATCACAGCGACTGACGACTGTCGGGCTGCTTCCCCCACGCCAGCCCCCACCCTAGCCTTCCAAGGAAGGTGCTGTCGGCTGCGTTTCACCTAGAGGGTCACTGGGGCTGGGTCCATGCATAGGTGACACTCCCAGCCACTCTGGGCTCATCCCTGGCTGGGCCCTGGAAGCCACCCCTTGGTTGCCCTTGCCCACCTCCCTCTCCCACAGTCTTTCCGCTCCTCTCTGCTTCCTGTTCCTGGGCACCAAGCAGCCCTTTCTCCGGCACCCAAGCTCCGCAAGCCTTGCCCCCACCCCTGTGCCGTGAGCAAGGCCAGTCCTCCCTCCCGCTGAGCCTCTGTCCTGGCCCAGGAAGCAGGTGTGGGACACGCAGCAGAGGGGCGCCCTCGCTGAGTCCAGCAGTCCTAGGAAGCCTGCCTGAAGCCAGGACACAGACCAGGGGGTGCCTGGGAGGAAGAGGGCCCAGCGGCGGGGAGAGCACTGGCAAGGCCCAAGGCAGAACATGACCTGAGCTGTGGGATGGGGACCCAGAGACCCTGGCCCGCGGGAGGCCAGAGCGGGGCTCAGTGAAGTCGCGGTGGTGAGCCCGGGCTCTGTGCAGACCCGGCTGAAGTGTGCGGCGAGCGGTTCTTGCCATGCATGTCCGGGTTAGAATCCTAGGGCAGGAAGGAAAGCCTGGCTCCGGGGTGTGGCTGCGTGTCTGTCCCCTGTGCACCCCCCATCCTCATCCCCCTCTGTTGCACAAGCCCCCAGGCTGGCTGGGGGAGTTGCCGCAGAACCCCAGCCCTGGGTGCACTGCCGATCCCTGACACATGGGGTGGGGGCGATGTTTACCGCAGAGCGCAGAGCGAGGAGCCGGCGGCTACGGCTTCACTCCCGGGCTCCCCGAGGAGCTGGGGTGAGGGTCTTACAGACTGAGGTTGGGACCGAGAGGTGCATGTTCAGCCTGTGGCCTCTGAGCCCCACAAACTCCATCGGGTTCTGGGGGTGTGCCTCGGGGAATCAGTCACTTTTGTTTGTAAGATTTATTTTTTATGTATTTGAAAGGCAGTATTAGAGAGACAGAGAGAGAGAGCAAGAGAGACAGATTTTTTATCTGCTGGTACACTCTCCAGATGGCTACAACGGCCAGAGCTGGGCCAAGCCAAAGCCAGGAGCTTCTTCTGGGTCTCTCACGTGGGTGCAGGGGCCCAAGGACCTGGGCCATCTTCTACTGCTGTCCCAGGCCATAGCAGAGAGCTGGATTGGAAGAGGAGCAGCTGGGACTCGAACCGGCGCCCATATGGGATGCCAGTGTTGCAGGTGGCGGCTTTACCAGCCCGGAACCAGTAAGCACCCTGGGAATTCTAATATGCTTTGCCAAGCACCGTCCCAACCTCGCACACATGGCCACGCCCCTCCCGTCCTGAAAAGAAGACCCGGTCACCTCACACTGCCTCGCGCTTTCTCTTTCTCTGCCCTCAGCCACAGTCCCAGCGAGAGCCATGCTGAGCGGTGCTTCTCAGACTTCACCCTGCACCGGACTCCCCGGGGCTTGTCTGCAGCGGCCCACCAAGTGCCGCCTGGCCCGTAGGCCCCAGGCCATGTCCATGCAGTTGGATCATTTAAAAAAGTTTTCTTTTATATTTATGACAAAGAGACAGAAATCTTCCAGCGGCTGGTTCACTTCCCAAATGCACACAACAGCTAGCCCTGGGCCAGGGCGAAGTGCTCAGTCTGGGTGTCCCACGTGGGTGGCAGGGGGCCAAGTACTTGAGCCATCGCCTGCTGCCTTGCAAGGGTGTCCGTTAGCAGGAAGCTGGAAGCTGGCACGGCCGAGACAAGAACCCTGGCACTATAATGTGGTTACAGGACAGGTGTCCCAAGTCGGGTCTTGACCACTGCCCTAAATGCCTATCGCTGGCACACTCACTCACTGCACAGTGGCGTCACCGCGGAGTGCCTGTGATGTGGCTCTCACCAGTGCCATCAGTGGAGGCCGCGTGCACCACGATTAAGAGCTCAGACTCGGGGTGCAGAGAGCCCGGGTTCCCGGTGCAGCCCCCCACGCCCCTGTGTGCCTCGCGCTTGCCTCTGGGGAGGGGCTGTGGCGCCAGTGCGCCCTCCCTCGGTTAAAGTGGGTCAACACAGCTTCACTGTTGGCACCTGCACCGTTTTCTGGGCTTCTGACCTTGGCCTTCCGACTTCCTCAGCCACCAGGGCCCTGTCACCCTGTGCCTTGCTGTCCGTGTGGCTCTATCCTGAGCCTGCAGCCTCAGCCCAGGCCTTTCTCGCACAAAAGCCGGTCCTTCAAAACGTTCTGGGGAAAACAGACTCAAAAGGAAAACTTATTTTGGTGCACAGAGGCTTGAAATCCACGCATGTGTGGGGTCTTCAAAAAGTTCGTGGAAAATGTGTTTTCTAGATAAACCGTACATAGACGTGACACTATCACGCAAAATAAACCTCGTGGGGCCGGCCTTGCGGCGTAGCCAATAAAGCACCACCTGGGATGCTGGGATCCTTATGGGCACCGGTTTGTGTCCGGGCTGCCCCACTTCCGATCCAGCTCTCTGCTGATGGCCTGGAAAGGCAGGGGAAGACGGCCCAAGTGCTGGGACCCCGGGGCCCATGTGAGAGACCCAGAGAAAGCTCCTGGCTCCTGGCTTCAGCCTGGCTCCGCCCTGGCCATTGTGGCCACCTGGGGAGTGAACCAGCGGATGGAAGACCTCTCTGTCTCTCCCTCTCTCTCTGTAACTCTGACTTTCAAATAAGTAAATCTTAAAAAAAAAAAATAAGCCTCTCTTTTAATTCTGTCTCCATGAACTTTTTGAGGTACCTGCATCCGCTCAGCAGCCTGCCGCATTGTTCCAAGCGGCCCATTTATTCGTTGCACACATTTAGGGTTTACTGACTCTGTGTCTGACCCCACTCCAGGGCCTGGGGACAGAGCGGTAAAGTGGAGAGACCAGGGCCGCGGCCCGGCGGGGGTGGGGGTGGGGGTGGGGGAGTGTGCAACCCAGAGCCGAGATTCCATGCTAATTATGCAAATACTGACTTTAATTGCAATCGGAATAAGCAATGCAAACACGATGCCCAGATGGCCAAGAGAGGAAGTAACAGGGCCTGTGACCCCGTCCGCAGCCCAGCCCTGCCCCTCCTCTGCCTCTGTGCCCCGGCCCAGCAGCGAGCTCAGCCGTCCTCCTCCCCCGGCCAGCACCCGGCAGTGGGTCCTCTCCCCGCTAAGAGGCGCCTGCTTCTGGGAAAATCTGCCTTCTTGGGTGACCCCGAAACTCTCAATTCCTACGCCTGGTGCTCAAGTTCACCCCCGCAAAGGTGCTCCTGGCAGAACGAGAGCAGCAGAGTGGGTGCGGGGTCCCCAGAAGTGCAGGCCCCTGTGGGCCCCCGGCCCCTGTGACGAGACGGCAGGAGGACCGGGCACGCCTGTCTCCACCGAAGGACCCTCGGTGCCTAACCCGGCCTCATCAGCTCTGGCCGCTGACCTGCGCTGCGTGGCACAAAGTGTCTGTCTTCCGCCAGATTAGAAAGCCTCTCTCTCTCTCTCTCTCTCTCTCTCTCTCTTTTTTTTTTTTCGTTGTCAA